TCTGGGATGAATGGGGTGGGGAAGCAGGAGGGGCTACGAGATAAGGACCTGAAGCCCCCACCTATTTCACACCTGGTAGAGGAGTTTTTTTTCCATCGGACAGAACCCATATATGACAAAGGTTAATATTTCTGGATATGAGTCTGATACGGATATGGTATCTCCTAGATTCATACACAGCAAAATTGGCTCTTTCCATAGACCTCTCACGTGGGTAGGCTGAGACTCTCCAGAACCGACTTTTGTCTATCTCTTAAAACTATTAAAGATACCCCAGCCTTATCTGGTGTCGTTCTACTGGGAATAACAAGGCTACCTGGAATATATATATATATACTAGGACCCCCAAATGTTAATCCCTGGATCCATATGTAATCTTTTATATATGAGGTTTAATATAAGGAGGCTTTTTTTGTTTTGAGAGGGTCCTTAGAAGGCTCAATTCTTGGTGCCTCCCTGGCTAGGAGAGGTGTGAAAGAATGGTCCAGGCCAAAAGGAATCCCCACACAACACTAAGATGCTAAATCTCATTTACACTTTACAGCATTTGAGTCATCTCACGGAATGAGTTAACCCTTGTGATTCCATCATCTCTTGCCTAGTACCCCCAATCACATTGCTTAACAACATATTTACAATAACTCATAGCCACTCGACCTGACAACCATGTTTGCTTAGGTTTTGTCCATACGTTATGTAATTTCTGACCTAGCCTGATGCTTTCTTCTGGGCTCTGAGTTGGTCTCTGGTACCTGCGTAGGGGTTGCTGTGCATGGAGATTCAGTGTGGTCAGTGTGTTGTCCCACCTTCTCCCTGGGTTATGCTTATTCTGTAACCTTCTGTCGTTACCACCTTTTTCGTACCCAGGGCCATGGAAGGGGGGGTTGCTACAGAGGGTCTTTGCTTGTAGCCTTTCACCTTTTTTTTTTCTAGGGCGATTACCTATCAATGTGGCCCTTCTCTGCTTCCATACAATTTCAGCCTGTTTGCACAAAGGATCACACCTACTGTAGCTGTGCAGCAATAGCTGACCCTTGTGCCATTATTGTTTTGGCGGTCAGCTGGGCTGCAGTTCTCTGCCATCCTAAATTCTTCCTTCGCGTGTTGGACATGGCCTCCTCTCTACTTTATCCTGGGGTGACCTAGCTGCAATCAGGTGAATTTTAGAGCCTGAGCAACTTGCCTATTTGGTCACAGACTCCTTGTCTGCCTTGCTGACAGTGTGGGGGCCTCTGAGCCTTTGGCCCCTGAGAACCTGTCTTGCGCCGGGTCCCTTAAACGCCCCCCCATAGTAGATACTACTATAGACTGGGGTCACAAGCCTTGTGAATCTACTATAATCTCAACACAAATTGGTAAACTAAACCTGAGATTTTAGTCCATCATAGAAGCAAGCTTGTAGTGGGGGTTGCTTTACAGCACACACAAGAGACCATGGAGAACAAAAGTAGCCACCCTCCAGAAGGAAGGACAGTGTTAGCATGAATTCATAGAGGAGTTGAAGATCTACTACTGAGTGATGCGCAAATAAGCTAGATTTTTGTAAATGAGGAGCTTGAATGCATTTTTAAGATTAGCGTCACTATGTTGCAAGGTTTTATAGCTTGCTCTGTCAGCAGTAAGCGCAGTTCTCCACCCTGTCTTCTGTCAGACTCTGCTATGCTGGCTGGCTTTTCGCCAGATGAGAAGGAAGTGGTTTAAGTAGAAAAGGAGGCACTACCACCGATTTCTGATGCTTCCTCTCAGGAGGGTCTTTCCCTCCCCCCCCCCCCCCACCCCGACCG